GCCCAGRSGCTGAGCCTCCAAAAACGTTTGGACCGTTTTTTTGTTTTCGGACAGATTTTGGACCATTCGGACCTGGACCGACGTTCAGGCCCGATGCATTCGCATAGGCCCTGAATCGGACCAGGTACYGAASAGGCCAGCCCTGGGCAGGGCCTGGACGTCCGGTAGGGACCCAGGMAGGCYGTTTTAGGCCAAGGGCTGAACCAGTTTCGAAACCTGCGATCTGGACCGTGGATCGGATTTCGATCTGCACGGTCCAGAACGCAGGCYGTGGGGTTTCAGTCCTGGCCCAGCGCTACTTAAGCTGGGCCGTTGCCCAGTTCGGACAGAAGGTACCAGGAGAAATCCAGCGTTRTGYTGGTTCAGGAACTTGGCTGCTGYGCTATTTTGGAGACTCCCTGCTGCGCCATTTCGAGACTGCAGCTGCGCTGCTCATCGGCCATGAGGCACAGCGCTGGAGGAGTCCAGCGCCGAGGAGGGTAGTGGAGTTAGAGAGAGAGAGAGAAGAGGACTTACCTGCCCAGCGCCATAGCTGGCTCCGCGGTACCTGCAAGTTCAGCCATCGCCAGGCAAGTGCAGAAAGCACCCAGCTTTCTTCTTCTTCTTCTTCCTCTTCTTCTCCTCCTCTCCTCTTCTCCTCCTACTCCTCCGAAGTTCTTCTTCTTCTTCTTCTTCTTCTTTATCAGAGTAGAGATAGAGGTAACTGCAGACATTGTTTGGACACGGCATTCTGCCCTATTGGACACGACGTTCAGGTCAGACTTGCACTCTACATTGGGATTGAACTGTGTGCGACATTCGGAGATCAGACTTGGGTTGGACTTGGTTACCTCCGTCCCTCCCCCTTCTCTCTCGCATGTCTATGGATCTCTCCCCATGTGTGTGAGCGGAAGGGCAATCTTTCTGRTGTCTTGCCCTTCCGAAGTTTTCTCCTTTTCATGTTGTTGTCCACGTGTCCTTTGATACTAAATCTTCCGCTGCGCTGCTTCCCAGCCTACGATGATGATGATACAAATGTGTTGTTATTGATTTCCTGTTGTTTCACTCTTTGCGTCGCGCACATTGACACCTTGTGAATGTTGCACCTATGCTGCTGGTTGTTGCCACTTTCGTCATTGCTAGATCCTAGGCTTTCAGTGCATTTCACTT